CCCCTAATGGTGCTGTGACCAGGCTGACGTTCAAGTTCCTCGTTCCAGTACTTTCCGATCAAAAAAGTCTGCCAAGCCTTCGGGTCGCTCATAGCGCTGCCCGCCATTGTTGCTGCTTTCATTTGTTGTCGCCGTTTAGGCGCCAGCCAAATTTCCTTATGTTTCCTCCTTCTTCTCTCCCGCCGATCCCCTCGGTCCCCATTGTCGCCCCCTAATGGTGCCATGACCAGGCTGACGACTGGGTTCCTTGCTGGATCAACAGTTGATCGGAAGAGTGCTTGGTTCAATTTGGCCTTTCTCCCTCCTCTCCCCCGTTCCGTCAGTCACCGTTTTGTGTCCCCTAATGGTGCTATGACCAGGCTGACACAGGTTTCCTCCCTTGCAGGTTTGAGTCATTTGATCGGTCGTGTCTATTTTTGTTTCGCCGCTTCTTCTACTCCTGCTCTTCCTCTTCTCCCTCTCGCTGTCCTCTTGCTTCTTCCCCTCCTCTTGCCGTTTGAAAAGCGCGCCGTGCCTCCGTTCTTCTACTCCTGCTCTTTCTCTTCTTCCCCTCGTTGTCTTCTCGCTTCTTCCTCTCCTCTTGCCGTTTGAAGAGCGCGCCCCGTCTCCACCATCTTGCATGCTGTCGCATCCTTTCGCTTCACCCTTTAGATCCGTTCTCCAAGCGTTTACAGCGTTTCTTCCTCCGCCATGCTGGACATTCTCGAACCGGCCCCTGTGCTCCACCATCCATGTGACTTTGGGATTTCCAGGGTGCTGGAGCGCTTTTCACTGTTCTTCCGATGCTTTTGCGCCATTTCTCGCTTTGCACTGCTTCCTTTGCACTCGCGCACGTGGTTACGCGTATTTCCCTGTGCCCACGATATTCACAGCACTTCACTGCACTCCTATAACACTTTCCCAATACTACACCGTGTTTCTTGCCTATTGTTACTTATTATTATTCATTATTTGTTTATTAATCTATTAATCACTTCACTATTTATTAATTAATTTATTAATTCATTAGCTAATTATTAAATAATTAATTAATTAATATTATCATTATTAATCTCGCGCACTTAAATAATTAATTAATTAATTTCTTCCTTCACTTCGTTGCGTGTCGCCTCGCCTCTTCCTCTTCTCCTTCTCACTGTCCTCTTGCTTCAACCTCTCCGCTTGCCATTTGAAAAGTGCTCCCTGTCTCCGCCATCTTGCTTGTTGCCGCGTGCTTCCGCTTCGCCCTTAGGCTTCGTCCTTAAGGGCCGCTCTCCATGCGCCTGCAGCGACCCTTCCTCGGCCATGTTGGATATTGCGAACCGGCATTTTCGCTCTGCGCTTTACCTCGCGCGGAGATGCCCACGTGTTCGTTCGATGCATCGAAGTTTACTCGATCGATCTATTCACCGTTAGATCACAAAAAGAAAAACTCAAAGGCTAACTACCGCGTGCATGCAGTATGCCTCATTCGCCCTTCCCCCGCACTCTAATTCCCTTCTGACATTTACATTATTTAATTTATTTAATTTGCGACTTTCTCTCACAACTTCGACATATCGCACTAAGTGGCACAAGTCGGATCTTCCACCTCCACGTGGTGTCCGCTGGGATGGAGGCGCTCTATGCCCTTCGGTAGCACTTCGGTGCTACCCAAGGGTGGGTGCTTCTGTGCTGACGAGAGGACGGCGACCTCAGGGGGCACCTTTTCTGGATGGACCTCTGTCACGGGTGAGCGGATCCGGGGACCCGAGCAAGCGGACCCGGGGACTCGAGCTTTGACTCACACCGTAAGTCTGTGGTCATGTTTCGCATGAACGGGGGGCTTGCCTTAACCGGCCGGCCCGCGAGGAGTAAACCTCTATAAAAAATCCGCTATGTGGTCGCGGGGCGGAATACGGCCATGGTAACCCCTGCCTGTGGTATGTGGTGCGAGGCTATACCGGCGGGGTCTTGGGGCCCTGGCAGGTACTACCATGCCGGTTTACTCCCGAAACCCCTAGCACGGCACTGGCGGGGAGAAGGAGGGGATCTGTGGATTCCACAGCCTCCGAGACCACAGTGCTTACGAGGAGAATGGCACGATTAAACGCCAGTCGCGGGGTGGTCACCTCCCCCGCTCCATCCCTTGGGGATGAGGTGGTCCGACCCTCTGTTGTGAAGGTTCAGCCGGGCCCATCCACAACTAGTGGGCCTGTGGGCGAGGGGGAAGACGCCCGTCTCCCTCACACTGTGTCTCCCGCTGCTGAGCCGGGCCCATCCACATCTAGTGGGCCTGTAGGTGAAGGGGAAAACGCCCGTCTCCCTCACACTGCGTCTCCCGCTGCTACAGAGACGCGCGGTAGGGATTTCGGCTTCCCGACTGTGCGCCTGTCGAGATTCGACGGAAGCCGTTCTCGACCGCGGCAGCAGCATCGCGGAGCTTCACCAGCCGCCGTATCGGAGCGAGCGGACAGTGGAGAGGAGTCCGATTACTCCATCTGCTCTGTGGCGTGACTTGGCCGCGTGACGTCCCGGAAGAGGGCTAAGCCCCTTTCATCAGGGGAATTCAGAAACTCTATGGACGCTAAGAGGCGACTGCTAGTGGCGTACCTCAGAAAAGCTGATTCAAAGGCGGAGAGGGCGGTCTTCAACCCCGACGTTGACCCGCGACCACCTAGCCGGGGCTCGCTCCCGTTGACGGAAGTCGACAACACACCCAGAGAGTTGGACGGGCGAAGCGGCTCTGAAATTGTGGCCGACGCACTCAAGCATTGGCGTATGCTCGAGAAGGTAGCCGCGAGCTCTAAAAACTTGAAAGGCACGTATGTGCGCGCGGTTCGGGAGTCCTCTTGTTACATTCCAGCGGCTTTGATGCACACGTATAGGCGTGCTCAGACTACGGGGGATGCAACTCAGTTGGAGAGGCAGAATATCCTTCTCCAACAGAAGCTCCGGGAGAGGGACCAGGAGGTAGATGCGATGAGGAGGGATATGAAAACCCTTCCTCGCGAGATGGACGACCTCAGATCGCGCACCGGAGGCGCTGTTGAGGTGCGTCCTGCGATTGTTCAGGCGACACACAGGCGTACTCCTCCAGTGTCGGAGTCCATGGACACTAGTGAATGTCCTCCCCCATGTGTGTCGGAGGTGGTCTTTCTTCCGGAAGCCCGTGAAGATGTCATTGAGTCGCCCTCGATTATGGGACCTCCACCCACTCCACTAACATCTAAGGAGTGGGATATGGAGCGCTTTGTCAACTTGATGGAGCGCTTCGTCGAGAAGAAAATGGCGCTGCAGGAGAGGTTGCTGCCAGCCTCGCTTCTAAGGTCGCCGCTGAGCGCTGGTCAGTGGGACCTCCACCCACTCCACTAACATCTAAGGAGTGGGATATGGAGCGCTTTGTCAACTTGATGGAGCGCTTCGTCGAGAAGAAAATGGTGGCGCTGCAGGAAAGGCTGTTGCCAGCCTCGCTTCTAAGGCCGCCGCTGAGCGCTGGGCAGCTGGGAGTGGCGCGGCCACCTCCAGTTGCTCCAGCGACTCCTTCTGCTCCGCCCAAGAGGGCCAAAACATCGAGAGCGAGGGCGACATCGGCCACAGGTGCGGCGAAGGGTGCTGCGCCTAGAACTCTACAACCTGCTGTAGGCAGGCAAAATGCGCCCGCTCCGCACTGTCTGCCCCCTCCTCCGCTGCCACCACCAGTCTCGACTACTGAGACCTGGTCGACGGTGGTTGGGCGTAGGGCAAAAAGGTCCTTGAAACAGGCTGCTGCACCTGTTCCGGCGCCACAGAGAAGACCGGTGGCTGTTAAAGCACCGCCAGTTGCCCAAAGGCAGAAGCAGCAGGCTCCCAAGCGGCATCCTCGTCCTTCTAGGACCACAGAGGTGTCCATCACACCGGGCACCGGGCGGATCCAAATCATACGTGGATGTGATGAAGGAGGCCAAGGAGAAGATTAAGTTGGCGGAAATTGGAATCGATGTCGTCCGTTACAGGCAAGCTGTAACGGGCGGCATGATTTTATAGGTACCTGGGGAAGGCGGCTCGGTCAAGGCTGATAACTTGGCCGGCCGTCTCAGGACGCTCTTCGAGGGGACGGATGTCCGGGTTGCCAGGCCATTGAAGTGCGGCGAATGCCGTATTGTTGGCTTGGATGCATTCGTCACCACGAAAAAAGTGGTGGACGCAATTGTTGCAGCTACTGGCTGCGGCACGGGAGACATCCGGGCAGGCGAAGTTCAGATGTCCCCCTCTGGGTTGGGGATTCTTTGGGTTCGTTGCCCCCTTGCGGCGTTAAATAAGATTGTAGCCGCAAGGAGGATTCGGGTAGGTTGGCTGTCGGTTAGGGTGGAAGCCCTGCCGACAAGGCCACTTCAGTGGTACCGCTGCCTAGAAGCTGGTCATGTCAGGCAGCGGTGCACTGGGCACGATGACCAGTTAAACCGGTGTTACAGGTGTGGTGAGATCAGTCACTCTGCGGGACATTGCACAGCGGCCCCTCGGTGTCCATTGTGTTCGGATTTAGGGAGGCCGGCGGGATATAGACTGGGCGCCAAATCTTGCGCTCAATCTTCCCGCCGCAGAGGTAGGCAGCTCCGCAAGGAGTAGGCAGCTGTTGCTGAACCGGTAAAGGTTTCTGCCCCTTCAGCAGTCGCAGACGTGTCTGCAAGTGGCTAGGGAGGAGAAGCCTTGGAGGAGGCAATGGAAATCGAGAAATAATGCCCCCTAAGGGCTGTCTTCGCCAGGCCAATCTGAAGCACTTGGCTAGGGCTCAGGACCTTTTCGTCCATACCCTGGCCGAGTGGCAGGTAGGGTTGGCTGTGGCCGCGGAGCCTTATAGAGTCCCCGAACTCTGCAGTCGCGTGGACCACCTTGCCCGGATCCTCGGTCTGCGAATTGATCACTCGCGGCCGAGGATTCGTGGCTGTGAATTGGGACGGAACCGCGGTGGTGGGCATTTATGCACCGCCCAGCTGGACCCTCGCGAGATTTGAGGAGTTTTTGGACAGGTTGTCAGCGTGGAAGGTGGGAAGGATGGTCTTGATCAGGAAAGAGGGGAAGCCCGCTGATTCTCCCTCCTCGTTCCGGCCCATAGTGCTCCTGGATGAGGTGGGCAAATTATTCGAGAGAATTCTCGTTGCCCGACTCTTCAGGCACTTGTCCTGCGGTGGTCCCGATTTGGCCGACTGCCAGTATGGCTTCCGCGAGGGTCGCAGTACCATCGATCGACGCGATTCATCGCGTGCCGAGTCGGCCACCTCCCAGG